GGGGTATATGGAAAACCTCTAGTCCATCCACTCAATTTTGCTGTGAACCTAAAACTGGTGTAAAATAGAAAGTCTATTAAAAATAATAAAAAATAAAACTCCAAAAATGTACATCCTTGGGGTGTCTGGGTGGCTCAGTCAGTTGAGCATCTAACATCAGCTCAGGTTGTGATCTCACAGCTAGTGAGTCGGAGCCTCGCATTGGGCTCTGAGCTGTCAGCATAGTGGTGCTGACAGCTCAGAGCCTGGAGATTTGGATCCTGCTTTGGATTCTGTATCTCCCTCTTTCTCTGCCCCTCCCCTGTTCGTGCTCTGTCTGGCTCTGTCTCTGTCTTTCTCTCTCAAAAACAAACATTAAAAAAAAAAGTTTTTGGTTTTTTGTTGGTTTGTTGGCTTTTTGGGTTTTTGTTTTTTGGTTTTTGTTTTTTGATACACAGAAGCTCTGGAAGGCAAAAAGTATTTTTTTTCTGTGCCCTGGAGTAATATGAGAAGCAATTATTATAGAATTGGTCTTAGGGAACTCTGGCCAGGAGACTAAGACAACTCTCCCCTCTCCATGTGTCTACTGACAGCATGAGTATCACGAGTGCTAGGAAGGCTTCTGGGATAAACAAACTGTGCATAGGTGGTGTTGAGACCCGAATAACAGCCTAGGGAGATTATTGTAAAAGAGGAATTGGAGAGGGAGCAATGGGGAGACTGAAAGAGAGCTCACCAGAAAGAAAGATGAAATTGCAGAGTGAACTAAAACTGCAATAACTTAAACAGTGGACGATAACAGATGCTTCTGGTTGGATGGGAGCATGTTCCATTTCTACCCAGGGGTATGCACTGTGGAAGGCAGCGACGGTATGTCCACTGAGAGAACGGTCTCACTAAGCCTGCAAATGATTAAGAGCAAAATCAACCTTGCAATGGCATTTCCCTGTCCTTACTCCCCAGTGAGCAGGGACACAGGATTGCCCTTCTCACCTCACAGGATCTCTGCGGCTGGGCGCCGATGACCAGTTCCAATGGTACTGAGATAACGGTCATGGCTGCTGAAATATGCCAAAGGCTCTTTGAGCCTCGGGCAAGGATGGCAAAGTCTCAGGGTGACCTTCCATGACAGTTAAGGAAGGCAAGGGCTCATTTGTGGACTCAGGTTTTCTCTTGTGTTTACTCCAAGAAGTGCTCGGGGAGGGTTTCTCTGCAAAAGCCTAAACACACAGCCAGGCAAGTGGAAATCAGAAGCCACTTACGTTTAGGCTTTTATGTACTTTGTGCTTACCAGTTAATAAAACCCATGACAAGGATGGAGGAAAATGGATCCTGAGAAAACTGCCTTAACGAATCCACATTACCTTCAGGGACTCGGCAAGATGGCAGGAATGTATTTAGAAATGCTCAAAGGTGTGGGGAGAAAAAAAAAAAAAAAAAAAAAAAAAAAAAAAAAAACCTTCAAACTTAACTGCTGTCTAAATTATTACTCCAAAGGCCAAGTGTTGCTTAAGTTTCATACCCATGCTTAGCATCATGCGTGAGTTTACAAGCTGTAAACAAGCCGCAACTTAATCATAGCATTTTTTGTTGTTTGTAAAGCTTACTGCCAAAGGTCTTGGTATTATTTTATTCATCAAGCTTCCTTTTCCCTTTTGAAGTCGGAGTACACCCAGGGAGAGAGTTACTATTGTTGCAGTAATCTTTTATTCAAATAATCAGATAAATATTTCAATGATACAGAGTGATAAAGGAAGCACTTCATTACCTTCAGGCTGAAGATTCTCAGAGGGATAAAAGGAACAGGGAAAAAAAGTAGCGAACGTGCTGCTGTTGAAAATCCAACACTACCCACATGACTGGGCAGCTCTACTGCCAAGAGCCGTTCTTGCCCCTCATTATAGGAATGGTCATTAATGTTTCATACCTGCTGGAAGAGAGAGGGGCTTTGTGAGCTATGGGCTCGGAGACTGGTATTGTCTTCTTCCCTGGTATTTATGGAGCTTCAGGGCTCGAGTGACATTTCCATCCCCCTGGTCGAGTTCTCCCCACGGCTGATTTCTTAAAGGCAGAGGAGCAGGTTGCTTTTCCCATCTGCCTCTTCCTCTGATCTCCAGGCTTGGCAAATTAGTTTTCAGACAAATAAAAAATATTTTGATAGTAAATCCTTGTTTGTAATATCCCCCTGGGGAGGGAGTAATCAGCCTTAGAATATCAGGCAGGCCATCAGTTTAACCACAATTTGAGTCCTGCAATCTGGTGAAACATAATTTCCTCTCTCTTTGTTGCTGAATATTTTTTTATTTTTCTGCTTTTTGTTCTCTTCAAAATCCCGTTGTCCAAATAATAATATTTTGGAGGATTAATCATCATGAAGTAACCATAACCACTGGAAAAATCACGTCCTTGTTTTTTTCTCACTTATATCAGAAAATAAGTTTGAATTCATAAGCCAATAGTGTTACCTTTTGGAGCCCTGTAAAAACATGAAATCTACATATCTGGGTGAGACTGTACCTTTGTGACTGTTAAATAAACATGTACACAAAACTCCACAAATACAAAATCAGTTCTCTTAACTTATTAAAAAGGAACAGCTAGCAAATGACTAAGAATTATTTTTTTTAGTTTATTTATTTTTAGAAGAGACAGCACAAGCAGGGGAAGCACAGAGAGAGAGGGAGAGAGAGGATCCCAAGCAGACTCTGCACCATCAGCACAGAGCCCAATGTGGGGCTGGAACCCATGAACCTTGAGATCATGACCTGAGCCAAAATCAACAGCTGGACGTTTAACCAACTGAACCACCCATGCACCCCACAAATGACTAAGAATTATTTAGAACCATCCTAAACCAACCTAAATATCAATTTTTTATGAATTAAATGGTAGTGATACTGACTTACCTCTGACTATAATTAAACAAACTAAACCAACAAACTATTCCCAGTGTACTAGTAGGTCTTTTACATTTTGGAGAAATTTGCTTTCAGAATATGGGAAGGCAGATAAAGGCAGTGGACGGAAAACTACTTGCACAGAGACCCATGAAGGACAGGAATTTATACATTAAGGAGAAAAAATATAAGCAGTAAGAAAGAAAAAAAAGATGGTAATGAATCAAGCAATGAAATAAATAATAGCATGGCTGTGAAAAGAAAGTAAGTATGTACCTCCCATTCTCCATTCATACTTTTCAAAGCATTCCTGAAGGCATGAACCACAGATTCCAAAAACAAACAAATAAACAAACAAAATCCAGTAGAGGGCATGGTCTGAATAGTGGAGTCACTGAGAAAAGCTGGTGATGATCCCAACAACTGAAACCAGGAAACGTGACTCAAGTAAGCCATTGTTCTGTAAGAGAGATGTGCAGAGATCAGACGGTGGGTAGAGTTGGAAATATTGGCTTCCTGTATAGATATTAACTTGTAAAAATATATTAGTTTTAAATGTTGACTTAATGAATATTCCAACATTAATATTCCAACAGTTTGTGATTAAGAAGGAAGAAATCAAAGGAAACAAACAAACAAGAACCCCACAAAATCTTACCCATATTTTAAATTTACTATTGGGTGCTTGGGAGTGGGGGTTGGGAGGAGAATTGATCATCAAAAACCAAATTCTGTTAAAGTAATTACCCAAAGAATTCCTTGAGAAAACAACAGAAACAACAAAACAGAAGAATTGATATAGGTATTATATAATAAGTGGGCTATTTTCAAGTGATACATCAGCAACAATGTACACAGGTTGGAATAAAAAGAGCATTGGTACAGAGCAACCATTTTGGAGAATGTAGCTGATGAGAAAAGAAATATAAGGGAAGAGATACACGTGAGTCAATTTAGAGGACAAATCCTCAGAGTTAAATATGGAGGCTAAGAAAAGAAAGCCAAGATTTTCCTAGTAAATGTGTTATTTAGTAACTCTTATGGAAATGACCCTTACTCCTATCATATTTCTGGGAAGCAGTATTTCTGCAGAGGTCCTAGGATAGCCCTATGGATATATATGACACATTTCCCCTTCTTTCCAAGTGTATAGGTAGCTTGTATTTATTTACAAATGAAAGCCACTTTTCTTGGCTAAATGAGCTAGAGAGTGAAAACTAAATTAGTAACTTTAGGTAGTAAAAAATAACCCAAGTGAGCCCTCAGATTTAGAAGCTTGCCAAAATTGAGGATGACTCTATTTTTAGGGTTTGGCTTTATTTTAATTCTCTGAAAATAAGCAATGAACATGTATGAAGCAACATATGTAAAGGTTATTTATCAAAAGCACTGTATATACCAGTAAAAATTGGAAGTAATCCAGCTTCCCATCATTAAGGAACTGCTTAAATAGATTACTGTACATGCATGCCATGAGAAATACTATAAAACTGTAAGAAAAAAAAGGCAAAGCACTTGAAGTATGGGTAAGAAAAGATCTTCAAGAGGTATAGTTAGGTGAAAATAGAAAAATACAGAGCAGTCTATAGTGTGCTACATTTTATGGAAGAAAGAGTGGAAATAATATATATCTGCATTTCCTTGGTCTTGCATAAAGACATTCTGGAAGAATACTCAGTAATTAATAATATGGTGACCTGCTGGTGACAGAAAAAAGTGGGGCTGATGAGGGTTAAAGTGATAGATAACCTTTTTACTGCACTTTGTATTATATATTTAATCATGTAAAAATACTCCCTATTCAATTTTGTTAAAGAAAACAAAATGAAAAATTAAATACAAACTTCAGTACACAGAGACTATTCAAAGGTATTATATTTTATAATTTCATGGTTATTGTTTTCCTGGCACATTATCCTTCACTAAGAATATCACCGTTTACTTCTTGGTTTTGGTTCTCTAGTTGGGTAGAGAACTACTACCCAACTCTACTGCTTTCAAATGTCTACTCACATTTTGGGGGTAGACACAGAAAGTTTATTCCATAAGCTGATGATGTTTCAAAGAAAGAAAGTGTTCTGATCTTAGTAAGAAACTGCCTCTGCTGGAATTGAAATATTGGCCATGGTGAGACCCCGTTCTGAGTCCATTCTGCCAATTCAGGGAATTCAGCGAGAAGTAGCAACAATTGAGAACAAGGTACTTACTCTTAAAGGGAAACCTCACAATTTTGCAAGCGTTATAAGTTCTATTTGTTGTTATCTACAACCTGTTTGTCATAGTTTTCTTAATTTCAATTATTTTCTAGTGAAAAAACTGCATGATTAATCAGGAAAAAAAAATCCAGTATTTTAGACCGTTTATCACTTCATGACTCCTTGTGCCTCCCCCCAACCCTTCTCTTCAGAAATCTTTGTTTATATATTTTCAAACAGGTATTGTTTTGAAAAGTGTAAATTCTTCACTTATCCTTGAAAAAATCATTTGAATCTTATTAGTTGTATAGTAGTCTTACATAGTTCTTATTTGGCATCCACCTATTTTTATGTCTTGCCTCTTGAGTGGTTTTCTTCCTTTGTCATCATTGATCTGGCTAGTGACTTTTAGGACCTTATAGCCTAAATTACTTGGGCTGGCTTCAAGGTTACTTCAGATGTCTGTTGTAGGAAAACGAAGTGGAATTTATGGTATGATACATAAAGCAATTTGTTTGCTTTGGCTGCAAGTAGCAGAAAACTGAACTAAAATTAGCTTAAGCAAATATATTGATTCACTTAAATAAAAAAGTCAGCTGTAGGGATCTACAGCTGACTTTTTTATTTAAGTGAATCAGCCATGAGCCAAGGGTATGTGACATCATCAGAATTCCATCTGCCTTTCTCTGTGATTTCCTGGACTCTGCTTCCTTCTTATGTCAGCTTTGCCATTAGGCTGCCTCATGAGGCAAAAATGGCTGCAGCTCTTCCAAGCCTCACCTCCATACCCTACCATTTATGCTAAGTTATGTTGCAGAAAAAAACAACTCCCACATTTCAATGTCTCACATCAACAAAAAAAAGTATTTTTCATTTACTATTCATTTCCATTATAGGTCAACTATGACTCTATTTCACACAGCCCATATTCCAGGACCCAGGCTGATAGAGCAACCCTGATGTGGGACGTTACCAGTACTATATGAGGGGGCAGGCATGGTGCAAACACTATGCGGGCACTTAAAGCTCCAACTTAGACATGCCACACACTACTTCTTATATATCATTGACCGCAGTTAAGTTGTATGCCCTAATCTGAAGTCAGTGGGGGCTGGGAAATAGAATCCTATGTTAACTAAATGAACAGAAGTGCCTTTCCCCTGGCATTCCAAACTAAGTCTTGGGACTCATACTGATTAGACAAACTAAGGTTGCATGCTCAATTGTTGAACTAATCATTGTACCAGAGGAACAGAAAGATGATTGGCTCCACCTACATCACATGACACACCATTGAAACTGGGGTTAAATTTTGCTTCCCTGGACACAAATAGATCCTCTCCAAAAACGTGGAGGTCTCTGTGGCAAGACAGGGGACATGGTTGCAGGGGATGAAACCTGGCACCCAGTATATAGATCATATTTAACAATGTTTATATCAAATTTCTTAAAGGTAATTCAATGATTACTAGAAACTAAAACAAAGGAGAATTATATCATACCATCTCTCCAAATCTGAAGTCATCCTGTCAGGGTTTGTCTCCCCAAATTGATAAAAAGAATATGGGTTTGGGGATTAGACAGACCTGTGTCTCTATGAGAAAGACCACTATATCTCTGTTACTTATTGGCTTTGTGATGGTGGATATGAAAAAATCCTCTCCTTAGCCTCATCTATAAAACAAGTTAGTAATACTTAAAAGTGAGCACAATAAACAACATAATAATAATACTTAATAGTGCTATATTAAAAGAGACAACATATACAAAGTGAGAGAAAAACACAATGAGTGCTCCAAAAAATTGTTGTCTTCCCACTCAAGGCCTGATAGAAGGTGCTAATGAACTGCAAATGGTGGTCAAGGGAGTCTTCTTTTTTATTATTATTTTTTAAATTTATTTTAGAGAGTGCACGAGCAGGGAGAGGGACAGAGGGAGAGAGAGAGATAGAGATAGAGATAGAGATAGAGAGAGAGAGAGAGAG